TCCGCCCTTGCTCCTGGGGTAAGAGCAACAACGATCCCAGATGTGTAATTGCACTTTCAGTCGCTAATAATTAAACTTTCTAATTGGACTTCAGTCGCTAATAATAACTTTACGTAACTGTACGTAAACGGAAGCAGAAGTGAAAAGGAACGCAAGTGTTTTGGTATTCAAATAAAGTATGATATCATGAATAAACCAAATAATGACTCATTTCAGATGATAGAAAATATGGTAACGTGTCTTGATGGAGTATGTCTGCAAACTATGAGAACGCCTAGATTATGAAAATAGAACTAGACACAGATGTAAATACATTTGACATTTCAAGGGGGAAATGCTGCAGAGTGATTGCTGATTATTATGTATAAGCAAACGTTTCAGGAAGAAGCTATTAAAAACTGAAATGAAGCTATAAATGGCGATGAAACAGAAATATATCGCGGATTTCATTGTTGGAGTAATAATATCCTTCGTATCAAAATACAATTAAATATAAATATCGGTCGTCCTTGGATCAGCATAGCATTGAGCTGAATTGTTCGGCTGTGAAACGCGTTATCATGATCGAGGAAGTTGAAGCTGGTTGTGAGTTTTCAAAACCACAAAATAGCAACATTAGTCGTGAAAGATTGAAAGCACAAACTGAAGCTGAATATCGAATTTAAAGGTTCAAAAACAAACTATCTACTGAAGTCATAAAGACAATGAGGAGTAATGAAGAGAAAGTGAAACTCAAAAACCGTGCACTTGGCTCTCACCTCCGGGGTGTCGAGAATGATTCCAGGACTCAGCCTTAAATGTAAGTATGGTTTCTCTCAAGAGTATTAAATCAAGGTTTTTCTACGCTTCTACCTCTTTTTTCCTTCTACAAAACTCCAAAAAATTCAAATTCAATCTGTGAGTTAGCCATGCCCTAACTTAGATCAGCCCAGAGATTATTTCAGGGTTCTATCTGTGAGTTAGCTGTGCCCTGACTTAAATCAGTCCAGAGGTTGTTTCAGGGTTTAATCTGTGAGTTAGGCATGCCCAGATTTAGATCAGCCCGTAGGTTGTTTCAGGGTTCTATCTGTGAGTTAGCCATGCCCTGACTTAGATCAGCCCAGAGGTTGTTTCAGGGTTCAATCTGCGAGTTAGCCATGCCCTGACTTTGATCAGCCCAGAGGTTGTTTCAGGGTTCAATCTGTGAGTTAGGCATGCCATGACTTTGATCAGCTCAGAGGTTATTTCAGGGTTCGATCTGTGAGTTAGCCTTGCCCTGACTTAGATCAGCCAGAGATTTAACATCAAATTTAGGGTGAAGGAACTGATAAATCAGAATTTATCACAGCGGAAGAGAGTGTACAGACTTCAGGCGCGCATCGTCGCCAATGTCAGTTATCTGCTATGTGTTATCGTTTACACTTGATAATGATCTACAACATTTCCCCCCTTCATCATCCCCTCTCGCCTTATTCTTTATAGTGTATACTCTTCTAAGATGGCGGTTTTTTCCCTTGATCAAGAAGAAACTTAATGCGTAATCGATATGACGATAGACAACAAGTAGCTAGTAGTTAAAAGCGTCACTTATGATGTAACCAATTTTAATCCAAACCCGAAAGTGTTTATGATTTTGGGTTGCAATTGAGCACCATGTCTCGTCATCATGCAAGCGAGTTCGACTTAAGCTTTCCTTTAATTTCTCGATAAGTTTATTGCAGCGAGAAAAAATTTTTCTTTTTTTTTATCTTTAGAAACCAGTCCAAAACGAAATAATGACCAGTGCGATTAACAAGGGATACTTGTTTACAAAGTTTTGTTCGAGTGCTGCTGAAAACCTGGACCTCAGACTTGCTAAACATCAGCAGGCTTCCTTGGTAAACGAGTGTTCACATATGGAATCACGTCTTCATCTCTTCGGGAGTACATCATTGAGAAATGTCATGTTCATAAGGTTTTGTATAAGGCTGGGAATTAAAGTAGACCTTGGACTCTCTCCAAAACAGCTTATTTGTCTCTATAAAGAATGCATAAAAAMTGCTCAATATTATGATGACGCGATTGCTATGCGAGAGGCCATTTTGCTCTTTGTATTACTGCAAAAAAACGTGTGGGGTTATAAAAAGGAAACTGAATGCGAGGAAGTGATAGTTTATGGCAAGAAATGCATTGATATTGGAAAGACGGTGGGAAGTAAAAACATTGAAAGAGATGCATGTTACGTGGTGGGGAAAACATGCGTTTGCATTAAACAATATCAAGAGGCCGTTCTTTACTGCAAGAAAAGCTTTGACATGGCTAAAGAGACCTGCAACATAAAGGYCGTGATGTATGCATCTTTGATGCTTGGAAAAGCATATGTAGGATTACATCAATACGAAGATGCTATTTTATACAGCAAAAACTGTATCGTAGTCACCAAGGAAACTGGGGAAAAAGAGGTTGAGATGCATGCACTTCTAGAAGTAGGGAAGGCGTATGCGGGACTACAGCAGTATGAAGATGCGATTGGCTACTGGAAAAACTGTATTGAGATSACCAAGGAAACTGGGGAAAAAGAGRTYGAGATGCATGCACWTYTAGAAGTAGGTAGAGCATATGAAGGACTGACAAGCTATCAAAATGGCATCAAATCTTTCGACAAATGCATTGCAATTGCCATGGACACTGGCAACAGGACAATTGAAATGTATGGATATTTTGAACTAGGAAAAGCATATGAAAACCTATTACAGTACGATGATGCCAACGTCTACTACAAGCGCTGTATTCAGATAGCTAAACATTCAGACCAAAGTATGGAGATGAAGGCGTATAGTTGTCTAGAAAGGACATATGCACAGCTCAAACTGCATAATGATGCAATTTGGTACGGAAGGAAATGTATAGAAATTGCGAAATATACAGGAGATAAAGAGACTGAGCAGCACGCTTACTTTAATCTTGTGAAAATCTATGCAGACCTTAAGCAGTTTGAAGAAGCTATTTCTTGTAGCAAGAAGTGTGTTGACACAGCCAAGGAAATTGGCCGCCAAAGCATAGAGAAGGATGCTTATTTACTTGTTGCCGTAATGCTTTTAACRGCTAAAAAATACGAAGAGAGTATTGCATACAGCAAAAGAGGCTTGGAAATCTCTGAGGAAATTTATGACTTTGACGATGAGATGATGTCATGTTATTTTCTTGGTATAGCATACATGCAAATAAGACGAAAKGAAGATGCTTCCTTCTTCTTCAAAAGATGTCTTAAAATAGCAAAGAAAGTTGGCAAAAAAATGATTGAGATGAAAGCGCATTTATCATTGGCAGAGATATTTATTAGTTTACCTATACTAAATCAAGCTCTCTTGCATCTAAATGAAGGCAAAAACATTGCTCAAGATCTAAACGACGATGAACACACAGCTAAATTTAGAGATTTGCAGCATCTGTTTAATATCATTGTTGGATTTTACAATCAAGTCTCTCCGGACGAGCAAATTATAGGAGAGCTGATAGGCATACCGAATGGCCCCGAACAAGATCTTCTAGATGAAATTGATGAAGCAGTGAAAGCAAAAGACGAGTGGAGAAAAACAGTAGCCCTCTTAAGACACCACTGTTTCTGCTACTCAAAGAAACAATACAATAAAGCCCTTGCATCACTAAAACATTTTAAGAAAGTAGTAGAGGACACAGACACTGAACTATGGTGTAACCTACCTATACTAAATTTATACATGTTGATGAACCAGTATGACCAGGCTTTAGCTTACTGCTGGRAGATATTAACTGAGGTGAAAGAGAGTGGATATACAATCCATCAATCATTATTCTATTCAACCATGGGTCAGCTGCTTTACCGAGATGGTCAGTGGAGTGCTTCTGAGAAATATCTTCGGGAAGCATTGAAGTGTTTTGAAATAGTTTTTGCATCTCTTGGCAGCAACGACGACCCCAAGATATCTATTATAGATAAATATTGTCATTGCTACAAATGTTTGTCAATAGTACTAAATAGGGCCAATCACGTCGAGGAAGCACTTGTGGTGTCAGATCGCTGTCGAGCGCGAGCCCTGAAAGATCTTTTGGTTTCAAACTTTGGGATGAACGAGGAAGGGCATAAAGAAGAACAGAAAGACTGTCACGACATCCAAGCCTTTTTGGCTTCAAGCAATGGCTTTACTGTTCTGTTTTATTCTTTATTTTTTGACGGGATCTTATTGTTCTTTACCGATGCCAACGAAAACACATACAAGGGTTATTTTCATCGCTTTGAAATGAACGAAAAGATCCCTCACTTTCTGAATTTACTTGATCATGCGTTTGACGAATTAGATGCGCGTAAAGTTGACAAATGCGAGGACAGGTCTTTGGACGCGAATCACGAAAATACTGAGAGACGTGGGGAAAAGAAAGAATCTATCTATGCCTCATGCACAGATGTTCTTTTTGGAATTGATGACGCACAAAACGTCACTAACCCTGACTCAAGGCGAGAAAGATCTGGAGACTTAACTATGAATGGGAACGCGCTAAAATTTCTSTATAACTCTTTAATAGGTCCAGTAAAAGACTTTATCGATCAAGATGAGATTGTAATAATTCCCGATGGCGAGTTAAACTGCGTACCATTTGCGGCCTTACGGGACCCAGACACGGGGAAATATTTATCAGAAACTAAGCGTATAAGGCTTGCTCCATCAATTTCTACCTTGAAGGTTCTACAGGAACGGCCGGCGGATCAACATCACAGAAGAGGTGCACTGATTATTGGTAACCCTTTGGTTGGTAAAGTCATGATGAATGGAGAAGTTACGGAAATTCAGCACCTGTTTGGTGCCTTAGACGAAGCAATAGACATTGCTCTCATACTTGGAGTCCGTCCATTATTGGCAGCCCAGGCTACAAAGCCAGCCGTCCTAGAGAAACTACAAAAAGGGGTATCTGTTGTTCACATTGCTGCACATGGTATGCTATCAAAAGCTACCATAGTACTTGCACCTTCTCCTGAGGTAAGAGCAACAAAGATCCCAGATGAAGAAGATTACATGCTGACCATGGCTGAWGTACAGCAGGCTCAAGTACGTGCACAGTTAGTTGTGTTAAGCTGCTGTCACAGTGGACGTGGTGAAATCAGAGCTGAAGGAGTAGTTRGCATGTGTCGAGCCTTTCTAGCGTCAGGKGCTCGTGCAGTGGTAGCGTCTCTGTGGGCCATCGATGACGAAGCAACACTCGAGTTCATGAAAACGTTCTATAAACACTTAAAAGAAGGAAATAGTGCCAGTAGAAGTCTTCAAATGGCAATGAATGACATGAGACAGACTGAAAGATTCAGTGCACCAAAGTATTGGGCACCATTTGTTCTGATAGGAGATGATGTAACAATCGACTTTACAGACAGAGAAATTGGACGTTGACATCGGCCTATAGAGCAGGTGCATGTTACGTCATAGCCGYCATCTTGGTTGACGATAACAAAGCATTCCTCATTAGCTTCTCTTGTAAGATCAACCAACATGGCGGCTGTTCCATTGTTATTCATATCTCAAGGGATTTTRAGTCACATGTTTGCACATAYTCTTTTGTGCATGTCGTTGTCATTATAAACAAATGTACTTGCAGTTTCAAATTTGGAAATATGTAAGTTRATCTGTTATTAGAATGTCAAATTAGATAGTAACAGTTTTAAGAGCGAAGGTAAAAAAAATGTAAAAAAAGGAAGGGAAATAAAGTAACAGAAAGGAAAAGAAATAAAGGAGATGGAAAAAAAAACCAGAATGGAAAGGAATGGAGAGGAAAATTAAAGAATGTAAGGGACAGGGAATTTTAAAAAYACAATGGACTATCAACAGATAAGCTTGGTTTAATTCCAATTGTTTATAACATTTTTAGTCTTAATTTAGTAAATAATTGCAGAAGTGGATCTAGGGGTGTGTGTGTGTGKGGGGGRGGGGGGGGGTGTTGGGGTTCTCTGAACTCCCAAAACCGCAAAAACGAACCCCCTAAATGAGAAGACGAACGCCCTTTTTAGGCCATCTTGATCCGCCCCTGAATTGGTTTTAACATTAATAGCGAATGAGGAATAATGGCCAAAAATATTGTTAAAACCATTTTATCCACGCTATTGAATCATATGAAGGGTGGGGTGGAGAGGTTTCTAATTTTGTAACGCAGTGGGGATAATATAATTCTTTTAGMCAACACGGTTAGCTAAATCAGTTGTGAAAAGTTACACTCTTCAACAAGGATCGAGGCATATTAATATTTTCTAACATTTTTGATTTATGTGATTATTAATTTCCTTAAATGCCATACCTTTGTTATGCGAAGAGATTATACTAATATTGAAAAGTGACCATCTTYATCATCCTGAAAGTATTAATTACTGCCTAAGAAGCGAGTCTACGGTATTAATAAGAACTCTTATATAGTCAGGCTCTCAAAGTTAAACAAAGAGTCATCGATTCGCCGCAACACTTCAAAGAACGAAGACGTCGAAGTATCATAAATATGGAGCTGTGCCAAGAACTTCAGCTCTCCTGTTAAATACTCCTTAATTTCACCGTAAACACCGAAAGGAAGGATAATTTTGCGAAGCTTTTTCGCGTATAAAAGTTCTGCTTTGCAGTAGTCGCTCTCGAAGTACTCTTTATTGAGCCACGCTATCAGGCAATCGCATTTTTTGATGGAGACCTTGAGCGCGCCCTCTAGATTAGCCGCCATTGGCATATTTGCATCGTCTAGCCACGTCTGATAACCCAGAAACTTTAGACCATTCTCAAACGTACGCATCAACGGCTTATCCTTAGACTTGTGGCTTAAGAAGAAGCAAAACTGTGGACTGAATCTTGTGTACTTGATCTTTTTGATTATCAGAGGCAAAAWGTTGATTTCGAGGTACTTACGAAGCTTTTCATCGCTTCCAGCACATTCGTTCAGCCGACACATCTCTCGATAATTCACAAGCTTGTCTTTCATGTCCAACGAGGCCATTTCTTCTTYGCAAGTGATGCTTAAATAGCTACATTTTACTATTTCAAGCGTCCAAATATCATCGCTACTGCTGTGCTTGAAGTTTGTCAAACGCACTTCAATTTCCTTGTCGAGCTCGTACTCAAAAGTAAATCGAAGCCACCAGAATCCGGTTTTGGCATTAAGTCCATGGTTTTCTTTGATATTAATATTGTACTTGTTCAGTGTAGAACACACTGGTTTCGTTTCTACCGTTGAAAGATCCATATTTACTGTATTGAAAATGTTCAATCAGTACCTTGTTATTTTGAAAATCTGAAATTCCGAGAAATGACGGCGTTGTTTTGGAATTCAATATGAAAATGACTGAGATCAGAGCTCCCATTGGTTGACTTCTAACCACATGCGACGGCGTTGTTTTGGAATTCAATATCGAGTGGAACAGCTGAACTGTCTGTAGCGCGTTGGAGCGAATAWAAATCGAAATACAGTGATGTTGGTAATATTGTGACTTGCGCAGAAATGGGAAGAGGTGAAGTCGTTGTAAGTCGTATAGGTAAATGTTTATGGCRTCATTGATTACAACACCTTCTTAGCTATTTCACTGCTTCCGAATGAAAAACAATGCTTTGCGCCTTGGGGTTAACCACTCAAAACAATATATTACAATATATTGAATGTACACTATACCTTCTTTTATCGGTGCAGTATTGATTATCACAGCTCATTCTGAGTTAATTTTGCGCTCGGAACTTTAAATGGTTTGATGATACAGAAAAATAATTAACTTACGAAGAAATATTTRAAATTTACTTAACTRGTTAAAATTCTTTGTCTTTCTGTTTCTTATTGTTTCATTTTGTATTTGGATATCAAATGAGATATTTTCAACATTGTCTAATCAGATTAGCTCCAAAGCTGCAAAGTATTGTGGGTATGTGAAAGAAGAGAACAATAGCTATTGGAGCGGGGAGTGGCTTAGTCTCCCCCACAGCCGCTTTCAGTGTCGTCACGCAACGYTTTCTCCCCAAGCGTTRCGTGATGACACTGAAAGCGGCTGTGGRGGAGACWAGGAGTGGCTCCAATGTGATGAAATTGGTGAAAATATAAGTCTTTTGTACCATATGTARATAAGAATTCACTTCCCATAGTGGTTTTCAAAACAACTGACACTTTATTGAGATTCAATTTTCTCTAGCAGATAAATGTCATACAGATATTTCATAAGTAAACCGTTGAGTTTGTTCAAGGAACCTTAAGGTATTAAAAGAAGTTCYCGCTACTTTTGTTATGGTAATGTGGATTTAATCTTATATGAATTACTGAAAACAGAGGCGGTAAATGAAAGGAGTTCGCTGCGTCGCTCGGCAAACTCCAGTGCAGCTTGGAATCGTTTTGTGGTCTAAACAAAGAAAGTTTTGTTTTTAGGATCTATTTTGCTGTATTTATTTGATTTCATGCTGTTGCTTGAGATATTGTGCCTTGGCGTAATGGAAAATTTCTTTGTATCTTTTAAAGTTATAAGATAAAACAAATCGGTAATAAGAAAATTTGTATTTTGTTGTGATATGTCTGCATTGACTGAATAATCATTAGCATGTCACGGGTACACACGGTTAATGCTTAAAAAAACATTGTTGGCAAGTAATTCATCACGGTTAAGAATATTTTCAATCTCTGTCTTTCTTTTYCTTTGATTCTTCAAGCAAGGCCAACTATAACACCAAGAATACTTTTGGAAATGTGTGCTATGAAATGCATTTTCACGTTTYCTGAGATGCAATAAAATGGTCGATAAACACAGACGTCTTCCAAAAATCCAAAATCGTACAGACATTAACGTCAACGACTCACTTGCAAGAAGTATTGGAAGAATCGACTTTGAAGTCCAAAGACTTCAATCGAATGCCGCATGGAAAGAGAAGCAGAACCGTTGGAGTTCGTCAAATTTTTTAAGGTACGAAGGAAGAACAAATGTCAAGCAATATCAGACTGTGACAAATGGGCAACGGAAACGGTCGGAGTCTTTAGTAAAACCAGAAGAAGCGTTTCCAAGACAAGGTCAAGAGAGAAGGATAAATAATGCGTCTCTCAAAAGATATAATTCCGAACCCTTTTTGCAGCAAACGWATGACGAATTTAGCGTACATGCTACTTCTCTTAAGCTTAATAATAGAAATAAAGATGAAAGCAAAAAAGTCGCTTCTARTGGCTTTTTACCTCCTGTGTTCTTGGATCCAAGGCTTAGCCCCGATAATCTGGTAAGTTCAAAACAAGCAAAATTAGATTCGGCTAAGACGATAAAGATAATCAAGGATTTTGAAACTAGCCGAAAGATGTTGGCGAAAAATCACTCTCAAGCTACTCCTATCGAGGGAAAACAGACTGCGAAGTTACCTAACGGTTCTAAAACAACCCGCAGGACAGAATCGAAAAGAAATAAAAATAACGAAGAAAATGTAGTTGAAGATTATTCCAAGGCTGCCGTAAAACGTAAAGGGCTGTTACCTAAGAGGCGATTATCTGAACAAGTTGATACTTACGAGGTTAGCCGAACAGTTAACGACAAGGYATTCCCGAGGAAAATTACTATACGAACGTCGAAGTCTTGTCCAACAATCGTGATTCACGAATGTGGAGACAACGATGATACATTAAGTGAAATTGGGAAAAATAYAAAAGATGATGAACAATTTGGAAATGAGGGAAAAATAGGGAATATTGGTGAAGACGAATTGACGGTTCTTCGCAGTAGAACTACGAGTTTGGTTGCTTGCTGGAAACCAAAGAAAAGTTTCGTCCAAGAAAAATAATTAGTATACAAATGTACTATAGACTGGACGTTAAAGTACTTCAATTTGTACATCAAGATATACTTTWAAAAATTCATTTAAGCACTTTGATGATAGCGCATTTGCCAGGTTAATTGCCTACTTCCTAGTTAGAAATGCTTTTTTAACAAATCTATTTATTGCTATATTTATTTATTTGTTAATTATTATTATTATTTAATATTAATATCCAAGTTTCAATGGTCTTCAGAATCAATACCTTAATGCTYTGAAATAAGTTGGTAAAATGCTTAGGGTTTTGATTGAATGTGCAAATCATGCAAGACAAATTGAAAGTCTTTGCTTAGTCGAATGATTTCACACCACTAAACGTCCTTCTATAGTCAACTATCTTGCAATTCTAAAGGCCGGTTTAGACGGTACGATTTTCGCCTACACTATCGTGAACAACATGCTCGCGCCATCCTACAACTCGAATCGTAGCGTGTAAATCAAGCCTACAACTCGCCTACGACAGACGCGAGCCTGTTGTATACGATAGTTGTAGGCGAAAATCGTACCGTCTAAACCGGCGTTAGTAAAATTAAATCATCAGGTTTTGCAAATTATTATTAGCTCCTGAGCATGTCTAAGACAAAACAGTACAAGAAAACTAGGAAATAAAGAAAGGAAAGGGGAAAAAAATGAAAATTCAGTAATACAGAGAGAGAGAGAGAGAAGCCAATGATTAATCAATAAGATTAAAAATAAAACAATAAAAGACCATTTGACACGAAAACGATTGAAGATAGCATTGTCTACAGCCACCAAATGTGCTATTTATAAAACACCAATATTATGCAAATTTTCTTTCTTTTACAAAACATACTTCATTTAACTACGTTCAATTATTGACACAAAGCTTAAGAGTTATTTCTATAGAATCCTGCCTAGCAACCAATAACGTAAATCGTTTTAGGATAATCTCAGGTCTTTGGTTTCTTTGTTTGGCTCTAACTTATTAAGGATTAACACCAAAGTGTCTCTCTCTCAAATTTCTCTCTTTCTTTATCGCCTTTTTATTTGTGAGTTTTACATGACAATGRTAATTGGTGACTAAAAAGGGAGGCTGTACGACTTTTTTATCAGATATTTTACAACCTAGCCTTTAAAGCAATAACCTTTTTCGTGATAAGAGAAAGTAGGTGCCAAGGGGCCCGCTTCGTTCAATATTTCACGCCATTAGCATTCGTTTTTGTATTTATTATTTGCCTTGACAACGTTAACTAGTTTGAACTTTTTTGATTGTGTCAACAGCTTGGCTGTCATATTCCTCTCACGATGAATGATGATTAAGTTTCTTTAGTACATAGTAACTTAGAAATGCATATGTTTTAGTTCCTTATACGTATTCAGTCGATGACCTGCAGAACGATGTCTGTGTTCACTGCATATGGCTCCTAAACTTTGGAATAGAAATTCATTTGAAATCAAAGATTTTATAATTGAAACGTTAATTTTTGGTTGTTTACATTTTATATTGGAKGAAAACGCCAGACGGGAAAATACAACATTAATGAATTTGTGAGTTCATTAGCGCCTCAAGGTTCACCATGTACAAAAATGAAGTTGAGAAAAAGCAAGAAAAGCAGTCGGCGAAGGACTACATACCTTTCGGTGCTAGCACGAAACAATACCGAAAAAGCATGGAAGATGTTTCACTGTTGAAAAAGAGACTAGATTGTATCCTAGCAAGGCCTGGAAACTCGAGGTATTCAAGTTCATCGTCTGTTGCCAAAACGCGCCATCTTGGAATGCCAAAAAGTTGTCCTGTATCAGAAAAACGGTCTGTTTACTCTTCATGTGCAAGCGAAACTGAATTTCGTACACTTTCTGGGAATTCTGGTTCATTAAGCAATCAAAAACGGATCTCAAGCTCGTCGTCTTTAAATCAAAACAGCGAGGATAAGGAGATTACAGATGATAAAGGAAAACTATTCCTGTTCAAAAAAGAAACCAATGGAACTACTGCTTTGAACTTTGCAAGATTGAGCGTCGATGATGTACTTCAAATCTCTCCACTGCGAGACGGAGACCACCGAGGAAAAATTGTTTTAACTTCAACAAACTCCAAAAACGACGTTTTCTCAAGAGAAGAGCATTTTCTACCAGGCTTTAAATTTGCAGATGTCAACCTGCAATTGAAGGCTTCCTTAGTCGATAGATATAAGTTGAGACAAGCGTTTAAAACGACGGACAATGACAAAARGTTTAAGACGAAAAAGCTGGAAATTCACTTGCCTTCTGCAAACTATTTGACAGACTGTATGGAATGCAATTCGCAACGAGCTAAGAGGCCATACTATCTACAGTACCGACACTCGAAGAGCGTCAAATAGCTTGTCCAAAACAAACTTTTTTGATTAAAGCAAAACAAAAATTGCAATTGAGCCAGGAAAGGAAAGTTAATGAAATTTCACAACTGTTTTTTGATTTTAGGACAAAATAGGTCTAGATAAATTGCTGAAATTATTTGATGAGTACTTTAACCATAGTTAATAGATATTTCCCTCTATTAACTATGCTTTAACTTTAACGAAATAAAAAAAAAAGAAATGTGTTCCTTGGGAAACAAACGCTGGAACTTTAAAAGGAAATTTTAAAACTGCTGAATAAGGATGATAAGATACATGAAATAATAATAATAATAATAATATAATAATAATAATTATAATAATAATATTATTATTATTATTATTTATTGATTCCAGCATAAAAATCATAATAAAAACGTGATGCATATAGTTACACTTATTTATTTTACTTTAGTCAATATACCCGCTTCAATTTTCATTTTAAGTTAGCCATATCTTACGAATTTTTAAAAACACACAAGTAATAGCTCACTTTCAAAATACGTTTTTTGAATGGTTAACTCTTATCACCCAAATTGCACGTGATCGCGTAGTATTTATTTTGAATGGTTGATCGATTTTTTAATCACCCAAAGATCACGTGATCAGTTAGTCACGTGACTTGTTTATAATTTTGTAGCRCAACCCGAAAAGGGATTGGTCTTTAAACCCGTACTTTAATTTTCTAAACACGGCAGTTTAATGTCAATTTTCTTCACAACCGAAGGAGCTCTATCTTGAACCTCCAAAATTTCATCCAGTGATTCGTTACTAGGAAATTTAGAATCCTGAAAATGTTCTCCCGGCACAATAACYACGTTTGAGACATCATACTTTGCGTCAGGAAGCCAAACATTTTGTCCAAAGTACGGCAMTTTTGATTGGCTACTACCCTCGTCGGAGCTACTCGATTTCTTTCGAGAAGACGAGAGCTTTGAATCGGTATATTGTCGGGGAACGCTCGTCTCTCTCGCATCCTTTCCGGAAACATTCGTTATATTTCCTTGGACGTCCGTTTTGAAGCTTAAATGTCGCTTCTTTGGTCTCTTATTTAGGCTTGCCCTTGAAACCATAAAATCCTGCGTACCAGGTCCCCCACAGGAACTCATGCTTCGTACACCAGGAGGGTAGCTCTGAAGTCGGCAGCGTATTGGTGGGGTACTCCCTTGGAAACATGGACTAGAAAACCCAGATTTTGGGCTCTGGAAACGTGTGGTCTCATCGGGCGTGAAAGACATTTCACTTCTGCATCTGGAACCTCCTTGCAMCCCCCGGAAATGCCTTGTCTTGTGGCTCCARCTGCTAATCCTTGGGGGGAAGCTGCCATCTATTCCGTAATTTRAAGACTTGGAAATGTGGTTTCTGGTGTTGTGGATCCGTGTTAAACGTTTATCTTTTGTGTTTTGCCTTTCTTTTTGATAATGTCGTTCGGTTTGAGCACAAAGTGACAGTATGTCAATTGCTGGTAAGCCTGTTTCCTCCGAAGTCTTTTCCTCCCTCGTCCTTTCTTCTCCAGGCGTTGGTGTGTGAGGCTTGGCCTTAGCCATTGCTTTAGTGATTGGTGTGGACATATTACGCTATAACTGTTAGCGCCAAACTGAATTGTTAGACACTGTAATATTTAGTGCTATTTTTGTAGAGACAAGACCGACCCGGTTGCAATGTTTTTTCTCGAAGAATTGATGACACGTACAGTTATTACCTGGAAACTGCAATTAGTTTTAATAATAAGTACTTCGTGTCCACGCTTCCTTTTATTGCTCAGTACTCACTGTTATAGTTATTTTAAAGCATGAAGTCAGTTCAGCCCCAGACTGCGGTGATTCTTATATAGTGGTACAAAGCTCAAATATATCATCAAGTTAAACAGCTGATGATGCACCGAATTTGCTGGGAACTGTACTGTTGGGGTATAAACTTCAATCCAGTGCTCAATATTCAAAGTTATATAGATATTTTGAAGCAAACAATATAATGCCTACTTTGCTCCAGTCTTTGATTCTTAAATGTTGTGCGCAAGTAGATTGTGGAGTTCAATTCATGCAAATTCCACAAAAAGTAGATGATACTTCTGTTATATAATTTTGTTTTCTTCTGATTCCTCCAGATTGTTAATCTCTTGTTTGTATACTGAAATAACCACAGTGATTCATGCAGCACTGGTATATATGTATATTTTTATCAGCTGCAGATGGCGTTTCTTGTCGTCGTCATGTATTTATTGTTTCATAAATACGAAATCAATAGTACCATCACAATTGCAGGGCAGACATTGCCTTTTTGTCACGTTACTTGTCGGTCAAATTTCCAATGCTTCTTTTCCTCTGATAAAATTGTCACAGAAATTAATTCGTTGCACTAACATTATTTTTCCGCTGTATTTCTACGCTCACACTCATTAATATAATGTTGGAAAAAACTGTAACTTTATTTGTAAAATTAAATCCCACTCAATCTCTCTTGGCAACTTGGATTAACTTCAGCAATTAACACCTTTACATTACTGTTCGTTCCAGAATTTCTCAAGGAAATTTCTGCAAATGAGATAAATATCAACGTACTATATGAGCCATTTGGCTGGTTCAGGAATCAAGGTACGAATGAATAGTCGTTTTCTCCACTGATGCAGGGAAGCGAATCAAACGGTCTACAGCGATCCAATTAATGTTTTCTCCAATMTCATGCAAAGCAAAAAGGACACTAGAAAACTGAAAACTGACTGAAGAATTATATATATRATCTTGTCAAGATGCTCATTAACTGTAATTGATCTGAGTTCAAGCCTTGCCAGATTTTACGAATCCAAATTGCAGTAGAGTGTTCAGCAGCAACACTGATGTACTTCAATTGCCAAGCAACACTACATTAATCGAATTTTGTCTTATAATTCTAATCTTGTAAAGTTACTTTCTTTAGCTGCGTTTCCACTGCTAGTTCATTTTGATAGTTTTAAAATAAAACCATGTAGTTCCACTACCCTTTTGATGATAATAATGAAGCTTCGCATAGCTTCTGCCCAAGTCTTGTTTCCACTGTATAGATTTCAGCAACGCTTGKTTTAAATGCAAGCTAAGTTTCAGCTGAATTCCGGCAACTCTTGCATCAAGACGTTCGTTCTGTGTTTGTTTACTATAAACACCTCTCTTATCAAAACTGATTTGGAATATGCTTATCCAGACAATAAGAAGACGAATGGCTTCTTTGAGAAAACAATTGGTACTCAGACCATACGAAATGATAATGACGAGGCAGGTTTACTGGAACAAGAGCTATTGTGGTTGAATGGTGCGTGGAAACATCTGCTGTGTCTGACCGCTAAGACCTGGAAAATAATTGAATTAAAATTAAAAAGATGAAGTAAAGCTGGATGAAGATGACGATGGTGAAGAAGATGATAATGAAGAAAAATAAGAAGAAAAAATAGATGAAGAAAAAGAAGAAAAAGAGAAGAAGAAAAAGAAGAAGAAGAAAGAGAAAGAAGAAGTTTAAAAAGATAGATGGGATGGGATGGGATGGGAAAACGGATAGAGCAATGGATGAGCAATGAAGCAAGCAAGGAAGCAAGGAAGAAAGCAAGCAAGGAAGAAAGGATGGAAGCGAGAAAGAAAAATAGAAAACTAATTAGAACAATAGAAATAATGAACAGAGGAATAGACTGGACTGGACAAAGTAAATTCTTTCATTTGGGGGACATGACTCATTAAATGGTTTTATAAACAGGACATATGGAATAATTGTTGAATTGAMAAAGCTTTCAATGGAGGTCAAACTAAGTTTTATTTTTGGCACTGCAAACATACTGGTATTGAAACTACAAACAAAGTCTGTAATTATAATTAGCTATAATTAATGATTGAAAGGTTTTGCTTGCGGTTTTTAAAGAAATTTCTTGGGTAAACAAAAAAATTATGTTGTTTGTTTATTTGGTCTATCATATGATCGATGCTTGTTTGTTCTCAAACGAGTAGAGACGTTTTATATTTCGTATGAGTTGCATGACAATGTCCCATGTCGCTCTCGTCGGTTCGCAAATTTAGTGCCTATAGGAAGGTATTGGTGATGCTTTTTGTCTGCATTTTACCCCTTGGACCACATAAAACAGAATGAATTTGGACATCTATGCATATTGACTTTCTAATTTTAAAAGAAATATCTAACTCCACTTTAATCAATTTTGGCATTAAGATAATCCTTTTGGGAATCAAAGCCAAACACAAAACGCACGCATCGTAATCCCTAAAACAATCAAGTATTGAATGCMCCGTCTATTATAAATGCGAGAAACGTTTTCAAAAACCCTGGTCAAAGTTAATTAAAATTTAGAAATATTTGTACAAAACGACGTGWACAATTAATCAAAGAAGATGGCAAAACGACTTTAAATTGTCTACGAAAAACGCAAATGAAACAGAAGGATTTATTTTCAATAGCTAAGGAACGGTTTTTTGAAAAAGCGTTTTGACCCTAAGGCCACTACTGGATTGCTCGACGAATCATAACCTTTCAAACCTAGACWCCATTGTTTATTCTGTATCTCGTAGGAAACCATTATTTGAGTCAAGTAAATATGTAACTTCATGAATTCCTACACACACGACGTACGGTTTCTCAAAGTAAAACTTGTGCCAGTCCTAAAACAAGTTAACTAACTGCAACGAAAAAATTCGAAGCATGAATTTAGATACGGTTTTAAGTAAAAGGCCATTCGATCAAACGACTCATGTACAACAAGCACTTAGACGACTCAAATACCTCCACACGTCGCTTGCAAATCCAAAAGCATCAAGTTTGAAGCCACTGCAAACGACCAGCACTCCACCACCAATTAACAGATTAGACTTGCCTGGAGACGAGGAAAAAGATAATTTTGAGGATCAAAATGCTGTAGATAAACGGTGCTTTCTGGCTTTAACGCCAAAAGAGTTCAAAGAAGAAGACTTGAGAAGAAACAACCTGATATCAAGACAAAGATGCGGCTGGCGACCAGTCAGGAAAGGTCGTGCACCGCTAACAAGTCCGACTGCGTATTTTAACCCAACTTTTCATCCTCTTTCAACGCGAACAGAAAGTCCATGGGACCGAAAAACACGACGAGAAACAAGTCAGAGAAAAAYTTCACCGAATAGTAAAGATAGAAAAGCAAAATCTGCTCCTGCTTCGGGAGGTCTTCCTTCATTAAATCCGGAGCAATTCGATTGTGTTCAGTGCTTCGCGAACGAGATGGAACGTCTACAACAAACTGAAGGCCCTGAATTTAACACCAACTTCAAAATTAATAGAATGACTTTCTCTGCGCGACCAAAACCGAAAGAGAGCCAAAATAAATACTCACCAGTGTCAAACAAGTTTATAAGTGAAAAGACTTTTAACATACCACAGAGTACGTACGGAGGATGGGGTGTGCGGAGCAGGCGAAGGAACACTGACGCCACACACAAAAATTCTCGGGACAAGCGAGGCTCAGAGTTGGACGTTACGTCGGAGTTTCAGACGCTCAGAATTGAACCGCAGGGTACTTCTGAAGGGTGGGGGACGGCACGGGTCGCAYAAGAGACGCTCTCTCCTCCACCACCCGCCCCTCCGACACCTATACAGCAGATAGACATCAAAATGCCGGAGGGGTATTTAGTAAAGTACAGATTACAGCCAGTTGCGTGAAATTGTATCTTWGGCGAATTGCAGGTTGCAAAAAATTCCAGTCTTCTGTTCATATCAGGAGCTTCGCATTGCTAGTAAATGAGTCGTCGCTATTGTAGTTGATTACCATATATGCGGTAGTCGTTAAAGTGTATATCAAGGAAATTTTTTTTCTTTCAAAATCACTTATATGTGAATAGTGTAGTAGTATGGTTGCAGTATTTTTGAATGTAAAGTTTTCTTTTAGGAGATATAAACATTAGAAATATCAATATGCAAATGAGATGACGTAAATTCAAGACTAATTTATYATAYAAAARTGCTGTTGTGGAAAGTACTGCTWTTTTTTTATTTGCAAATCATCCTTATAACTGAAATATATGGCTTTATACACTTTTAGGTTATTTCACTTCAGAACACTTGTCGTAAATTACACTGCAAAATGTAACCCATTCTTGAATTTACGTCTTCTCATTTGCATATTGATATTTCAGATGTTTGTATCTCTGAAAAGAGAAGTGCACGTACAAAAATACTGCAACCATACTAAGTGATTTTGAAAATATTTTTCCCCCTTGATATGCGCTTTTTCAACTTTTTTAATGGTAATTTATAAAAAGTTTATTCTTAATTTTAACAAGAAATTATAATGTCTTATGAAAAGTAAATAGATAAMTTATTTGGAAAAAATATCATTCATTACTACATGCTATTTTTTTCTTTGCTGGCTTCGCTACTCACTCCCGGCTGACTTACAGAACTCACTCACTCCTGGCTGACTTACAGAAACGTACGGCTTCCATTGTATATCATATTATGATATAAAATTATATAATATGAATATAATATATAATATATGGTACTGTATTCCAAGTCAAAAACTTTGGCAATAATTATATCTCGCCTTAGTTCCCTCTCTCTCTGCTAAACCACAGGAAGCTAGTCACCAAAAGAGTGCAAAGGAGGACGCATTCCAAACATTGCGGAAGTGAACGATTGCAGTACAAGTAGTCACGAAGTCGGCCAACTTTGGCCCTCTTTACCGGACAAAATACTAAAATATAATTCCTAAAACGAGAAGCTAAAGATAAACAAGACAAGATAAAGCAGTTTTGAATCTTAAAGTGAGTATTTCAGCAGTAATTTTGATTTTTTTTTTGTATTTTGCTGCATGGTTGAGTTGCTCAATCAAAGCTGCACATGCCGTTTCTTGCTAAACAACGCCAATATTTTATAGTTTTTCCCCTTTACAATTTCTCATTTGAGGCCTTATAAATGCTTGAACGTTAACATTATGTATATTAATGTGTCTTTCCTTTCATCCTTTGTTTTATACTTTTCTTAAAGTCTAAATATATATTTGAGTTGAATTGGGGTGAAGCCTTACTGAAACTGGTCAGACTTAGTCACACTTTCTATAAGCCCCCTTATGCCATATGCTGCTGCTAAATCGAAAATTTATATTCAATATCATGTTATTAGACGTTTGTTTGTTGTTAATACTTCCGACTAAGTTAGTAATTAATCATTGAAGCTTCTCACACGACTTCCATAATTTAAAAACATGTAAATATAAAAATGACAGTGTCCCGGGGGGGGGGGGGGGGGG